GAATGACTTAATCTAAATGTATATCTTTACTGAAAATACTTCCAAGCACGAGTCATCGGTTGATCACTGTAATAATTTCATGATCATTAATGGTTTCTGGCTTTTACAAATATTTGGATGAGATTAGAGTAAAAAAAAACGAAATACAGTCTACCCCCTATAACATTGTTGATTATTCCGTTTTATATAAATTCCATGTTGTACGAGTCACTTAAATTTTACAAATACCTGTGCCGGATTGTGAACGGCTTACATATTTATAAAATCTAAGTGACTCGTACAACATGGCATTCACATAAAACGGAATAATCAACAGTGTTATAGGGGGGTCGACTCTACGAGTAAATATACGATTTCGTAAAATATGAAAAATTTCAATGTTCAATTCGCTGCTATTTAATTTTAGAATAAGTTGTAATTTAAATTATTCACAAAATATTTACCGATAAATTTTTCATTTGACGACAAACTTCGGCCACATTTTTCGTCGATTCCACGTTATTGACGAACGAATCGCTACAAAAGAAATAAAAATAATTAGGCAAATAACAAAACAATGTGATTTATTAGCGTAAAACTCACCGAAAAGGTTCATCGAATTTAACCGAAGCGGCCAAGTGAAACACCACCGAAACATTCTTTGTTATCAAATTCATATGACACGAGGAAAGTCCTAAGTTCTCTCTTGTGAGGTCCCCTTCGATGCATTCCACTTTATTCGTAATTTCCGGATTTTTCAATAAAATGTTTTCGAAAATCTTTCACAAATATAATGAATATATTAGAAATTCGATAACAAATTTGATTTTATAAAGTAATACGGGGGTAAGCGAGTAGAAAAATCGGTTAAATTCGAGTTGTCATAATTGTGTTCGATTTTGTGTAAAAATGTACTTAATTCTGACAACACGAAGACATTTATTAATTAAACTAGCTGCAAGGACCCGCTTCGCTGGGCTTTTAAAAAGTAACGATAGTGAAGATTAAGATAATTACACTATAGCCAATCTTACCCGTTTTCACAGAATGCAAGAATTAGGTCTTCCGTTTCTGATTAGAGATCTGATCCCGATTCTATTTCTGAACGTCTCCTATTTATCTCCAGTCAAATGAACTATTCTCAACGTTTCTGGAACGTTTACAATCGTTCTATAATCGAACCAATATTCAAACAAATTCGAACAAAACATTCGAAATAGAAAGCCACTTTCAACCACTTTCAGCTTCATATCTCCCGCACCCTTATAGCTATCGAGACGCAACCCCCCTGGTGCACGAATGGAGACTTGGGGCTACTACTACATAGAAACACCATTCACGTGCGATGTGTAGTTTTGGCGGAAAAGTGAAATATAGGGACATACATGTCCANATACGGGGATAAGCGAGTAGAAAAATCGGTTAAATTTGAGTTGTGATAATTGTGTTCGATTTTGCGTAAAAATGTACTCAATTCTGACAACACGAAGACATTTATTAATTAAATAAACCGGCAACGAGTTGTTCGACTGTTCCGGCAACTTTTAAAATTTTTGCACAAACACGGGTCTAGCGTGGAAAAGCAGTAAAAAACACCAATGTAACATCCTTTAACCAAAATGAAATTAAACACTTGATTACGCAATGAATTGATTAAAATTTGCAGTTGTTTTTCTTGAACGTCCCTCCCTTTAGCTACAATTGCATTCTACAGTTTTTATATTTTCAATGGTGTTGAGATCAGGACTGCAAGGTGGCCAGTCGAAAATCTGAACTCTATTACTCAAAACACATTCATAGATGGACTTGGAATTCTGTATCGAAACAGTCCTGTTGGTAGATACATTTTGGGCCCCAAATGGTAAGAAATGTTTCTCCAGCATTTCTTGATAATGATTTGCATTCATTATATTACGAACGAACAAAATGCCCAATTTAAACACTGTATTTACTGTTGCCCATTCTGTTGTAATACTATATAATTCTAGCTACCCGCACGAACATATCCTAATTTCTGAGACTGATTGTGCACGTAATGACACGAATCGTTTCCCAAAGTTCCGTAACTTCATTTATCTAGAAATTAGTTAAGTTGTAAATGCGGAATCCACTGTAAGTAAAATTAATTTTAATAAAATTGTTCTTTTCTCGTCATTTCTCATCTTAAATCAATACAAATTCATGATTGACGTCATGGAACGTCAGAGAAACGTTAAAGTATTCCTTAATTTGTATTACTCGTCTTAATACAATTTTAATTTATAAATTTTATCAATTCTTCTTTTATAAATTTTTCTTGTATACGTTAACATGATTTACGGTGTAAATTGTACTCCTGAAATTTACTATAAATATTAAAGTAGCAACATAAATGTGTATTCAAACAGGCATTAGATAATTTAAATAAAACGATTCGTTTTAACTTCTAGAATAAATAATTGTAAAAACGTTTTTTAGATTAGTTCAAAGTGCAGAAGAGAAACGTTTTATTACGTAGCTTCCATTTATATGGTATTCTGGTAAACGGCGCTGTTCAACGATATGGCACAAATTTAAAAGTGCATATATTAATAAAGTTTAATCTTGAAAGTATGAGGATTTTACGCGCTCAGAATTATCTTCGTTTAACGCAGTGTTTTGCAACCTATTTGTTTGTGCCCCAACAAAGCATCTTCAAAATCCTAATGTCCCCCTGTGACAAAAACATGGCATCTTTGTAAAAGAAAAGGAAAAGGAAAGGACAGTTCAAGTACTGAGAAGAAAATCACCAAGAAATTGTTAAATAATAATATGAAGTGATATGAAAAAACAACAAATAAAGTTTCAGAATATATATAGGCTTATGTATAGAACTGAAGTGAAAATGTAACAAATATTAATTATTTGCTCATTGCCCCAAAACATTCAAATTGCCTCCTGGTGGGGCGTGTGCACCGCGTTGAAAAACACTGGCTTTAACGTATAGAAATTACAAGTTTTATCTGTAATTACGTCACTGATGGACGAGCGGTCAAGGTGGCAGCCTACCGCTCTGGGGGACCCGGGATCGAATCCCCAGGAATATTTCGGACAAATCAAGGAATCCCCAGGAATATTTCTGGGGGTGGTCTATTCGGATATGACGGCTCTGTCCCTCACCACCCTATCGCCCCATTGTGTGCCTGGCCGAACTCATAATGGGCCTGCTCTAACAAGCTTCGTTAGTGACCACGGGGCGGAAAGAGTATTAAAAAAATGATGGTCAGATGTACGAAATAAATTCACTCAGCTCACCTGTCAATTCACTTCTATTCTGCCACTGTAACACTATTTTAATAATCGCTAACTTTGGTGTTGTGATGAAACAACCATTCTCTCGATGGTTATGATGGATTAAAGGTTTACGTATACATCTAACTGCAACCTCAAGACACCGAATGTAAAATTGGAAGAAGACGTGAATACTCAACATGTATTATTCTTAAAATGAGGGAATATGTGACTCGTCTTTATGAAGTAGGAAACATGGTGCAATACTAGGCATGGGCATGCCAGGAATTTGCTCACTCGTTGGACCGTACTCGCGCTGCAAGCATTCATTACATTAGAAATAAAAATACATTGATTGATTGTTGCATAATATGCTCCAAAATATTCATTCTCTCGAGTGTTCGCTAAAAACAATAAGTATAAGCCGTAACTTGTGTCTACAGTTTGCACAAAATCTTTGTACGAAAAAAGTGTCACGTGTAAGAACACGTGATATTTTTTTCGTACAATGCGATTTTCACTGATTATTTCAGTGAAAATCGCATTTCTTCAACGTAAAATTTAATAAATGTTAACTGCACGTTTGAATTTTCGATAAAACTGTAACTCTTACAGAAAATGAGTAAAATATGTAATATTTCAAGCTACCAAACAATAGTTTACGTGTCATGAAATAAATGTAATCCAGAACAGTTACATTTTAACTTACTTTAGAACGAAACAATTCCATCTTCCTCTCTTCCGCTGGCATTCCTTTCTTGCTTCTGATTAAAACGTAAATCTTTTCATTATTGCAGGACCTTAGCAATTTCTCTAAAAGCACCTTTAAATATTACAAAGATAAAGCGGAAATGAGTTACACTTGAAATATCTGTGTATAAAATTATGACGTAGAAATACTTGCCTTTCCCAAAGATCCCGTTACCCCCGTTACAAATACTTCACGACTTTCGTAAAATTTCGATATGGACATATTTTCTTCAGCAATTCTTTCGAATATTCTGTCAAATGAATAAAAACGAATAAGATAAAAGAAAAAGTTTATCACAAACAGTGACAATTGCATTTTCTCCATTTTAAAAGAATGATGTCATTAATATATAGAGGTTTCGTATCGTAAAAACGTTTACCAATTAAAAGCCAAAATTCTCTTAACTATACCCCAGTCATATTCATAAGGTTTCGGAAGTGGTTTAATAACACGTAAACATTGAATTAATTCATTAAATTTTTTTTTGCCTCCTTAAAATTAATTTTGCATTTGAATGTGCTTATGTCAACGCTTTTCTAATCTTCGAAACAAGCTTTATAGCTGATTTCCTTGAACCACTTCGACATTCGCAGAGAGACTTGTTTTATGGCATAAATCGACTCGAAACGATGACCGTCGAGCGTATATTTTATTCTAGGAAACGGGAAAACGACACGGTATCATATCAGATAATGTGAGCTCGCGACATTATCTAGTTAACCAGTGACCCACTGCATATCTCACAGATAAACATGAAGCTTGTGTAACCATATCTATTGAATTTCTGACAATAGATTTACAATACGAAGAGCATTGTCAGCAGCCGCATTTTTCAGGGGATTTCTCCTTTCAAGTCGGATCGTTTTATACGAATTGCTTCACGCAAACAAAGTAAAATTCTTAAATGATATTGTTTGTCGACAGTTTGACCAGTTAGAAGGAATTCGCGAGACACGACACCAAGAAATTTGAATGACTTTGAAGCGGTGTTTTTGGTCTCGCTCCACCTTTCTTGTGCCATACATTCGATTATTACAGGAATTCTAAAATCAAGATAATTCTTGATATCTTGCTTAAAACATTATTAGACCATTAGAGAGAAACATTATAAAAACCTATGTTTAAATGCAAAATAAACTGGTCATTTAAATGTGAGAACGGGGGATTCCTGGTTTATCCCCTTTCACATACAGATTGGACGCGACTTGTTCATTTCAACTGATGTCAGCACTGACAAGGGTAGATCTCGACAGATCTTATTCCGAGTAGCCGAAATTATAAAATCTTAACCGAAATTTTAGAATGGTATATGTAATTTGAAGGTGAGTCGACAATGGAGGTAGGCCTTGAATTAATCTAAACAAGTTTATAATAAAACTGTAAATTTATTTAGCAGAACGAAGATATAATATTAGTATGAAACTTGATTTACACCAAAGTATTACAAAATTATAATATCGAATACAAAATATGAATACTTTTAAAATTAACTCACTATTTAATCTAGAAAGAAAGAGAGAGTTTACATAACATGGGTATATCACCTTAATGTATAGTACAATGCCTCGAGGGATTGGTGAATGTAGGAGAACTTCGCAGGAGCTTCGGACACATAAAGAGGAGTCTTTTTGGAGGTAAGCATAAACTAGAAACGAGCGAATTCCTGTTTTGAAGGTGACCTCTCTCTTTTATGAAGAAATTCCTTCCTATATATGCGTAAATCTCTCCACGCTTCCGACGAGTGATGGAAGTCGAGGTGAGTTTCGTAGTGGGATGTGTCGAGATCTCATGTTTGTAATTACTTGCAAAGGAAGTGACCTTATTTACCTCCAACAAAGTAAAATTTAATGATTATTTGCGACAAAATAGTACTTTAAAATGTATTAAAATAAAACAAATTTAAAACATATCCCATTCTGATTGCTGCAGTCGAATTAACCATTTTATATTCTCACATCGAATGTATATTTAGTTAAATTACGATATATCATAACGTTGTTAAAGTTTACTTTATAAGGATAGAATAAAATATTCCTGAACATTTTCATATATGTATAGTTAGAGCAAGCACATTTCTACAATTAATTCAGATGAATTATTTGATTAAACGGTTATAAACACGCAACATGTTGTAAATAAATTTAATTACAGGTATAAAAATCTAAAGTAATGTATAAAAACTAAAAGGTTAAAATACTAATTCAATTATTGAAGAATAAAGCAGAAAATGCAACAATAATCACAAATTATAAATTAAAATAATGAGTGGAATTGTGTATAAATTAATTGGAAATATTTTCATTGATTCCTCTTAATAAGGAATTATTTTATCTGTATATGAAATTATAATACTAATTAATTTCCTAGAAATGATTAAAATGACATATTTACTAATGTAATTATATTTGTTAACTGTAATAAAGTAATAATTATTGATTGTTGATTTTTAGAAATGTGAACTTTGGGCAACAGCATCGAAAAACCTTTAATTGTTTCCTGTATTACGGAATTTTATCAATTGCATTAGGAAATTCTGTGTATAATTGTACTAGCAGAAAGCCCGGCGTTGCTGGGGATAAAGTAACGATAGGGAAAATTAAGGTTGTTACATTACAGCCAATCATACCTGTTTTCACAGAATGCGAAATTCGGTCTCCCTGTTTCCAGACTAATTAGAGAATTTTTAGATGGGTCTAAAAATATGTTCGATATCCAGCAAAAATTCAAAAAACCGCATCTGCGCCTGTAAATCTTGCACGTTGTATTCGATTAACATTTTTATTATTGTCACTTTCATTCTTCACTTCCATTGTCAGCACTTCCTTTGTTACTTAACACTTCCATCGTTGAACTTTTAATTCTGTTTCACTTTCCCGTAAAGGAAATTTCGAAAAATCCCCTCTTAGTGTGCGTTCTCGTGATGTGTACTCTAACTGTGTACCAAATTTCAACTTTCAACTCGTAACCGTTTGTTATTATTATTATCAAACCGTCTCGATTACATATATAGATACAAAGTTAGTGCCGTTGATTTGTAATTTTTCCTCTAACAAACAATGTAACGATTTACAAACGCATGGAGAAACAAACACATTTTAAACTATAGCATACAAAAAGCTATAGAAAAAAAGATTTAAAAACTTTTAACATTATAACTCTAAACATATCATTAAAGGAACCGTGCCCTATTAGGAACCTCTAAACGAGGCCTACGTAATCAACTAAGTCTAGTTACGTAGCCCCGAATTAATTAATAATACACGGCGCCTAACACCTGCCTCTAGTGTATTAAGTTTTATTTATTTGCTTCTTTATTTTCTTTATTTATTCGCAATTTAACTGGAATTATTGTGCTAGGTACGAGTAGTAGTATCTTAAATTAATAGGAAATCATAAGTGTATGACGCAATACGCCCGGAGTAAGCGACACGAGTCGTGTTAAACGTCGTCTTCATTATTGTCGACTAAAACCGTTGTTCAATTAGTAAATAATTCGCCGAAATTTTTAAGCCGCATTCAATTAATTAATTAAAAACTCAAATTTATTTTAGAATTTTAGAAATGTTTATTGTGGTTGTTTGCTGGACCAGAACGACTTTTTATCTTCGACTTGAACCGATGCCAAGAAGATGATAATCTTGCCAATCGAAGGAAAAATATAAAATTTAGTGATTTAATAATATTTCTTCTGTAGGGTTGAGGCGAAAGTTAAATCAAATATTTGTAAAGATAAATTAACAATATTAAAATTTCTGTTCATTCCAGTACATTGCATCTATTCGCATTCGTCTTCTGTTAACAGAAGTATTACCGAAAATTGAAATAAAAAATATTATTCATTGCAAAATTCTGTTTAAAACACGAATAAGGAAAACACTAGTGTCACTAATTAAAATTATATCCAGGAGAAAGAGGAAAGAATCATTCGTGCGAATAAATTAGAAACGTTCTCGTATCAAATTCTGAATATATTTGTTTTTTAAGTAATAAATTTAAAATTAATTAATAGTCTAAAATAAATAAATTATAATTAACAAGTAAACAATCGCATATAATCGCGTAAAGTATGGTTAAGAAAATCGCCAATTTTCTAGCATAATCGAATTCAGTTTCTTTTCTTAAACACTTTAGAAAATGCAGCAACGAGTTGCTTAACTTTCCCGGCAACGTTTGGTGCCGTTATCTGTTACGATATTTTATTATTAAGAATTTTTATAATTTAAAATATAATAAAATGGCAAAAAGCTTAATTTTGAGGGTATGGATGCCATTTTACTGGTTATTACGTCTGACCCTACTGGAGATACGTACGATCTCTTTTATCCTTTCACTTCGTCGACCTTTAATTATTAAAATTTAATAGCATCGATTTCACTAATAAACAAACTTCCCTAAGAAATTACAGAAATTTTCAACAAAAAGCACGGGAGTTATTAAGCTTCAACAGTGCCGTAAGTAGGCAGGTGCAACAGGTGCACCCGCTCAGGGATCACTTGGAAGGGGGGCCAAAATGTATGTATTTGTTTTAATATATAATCTTATATAAGACGCTACAATAAAAATCCGAGAGACTATTTATCTTGCTTTGAAAAAATAATTTGGAATTCAATAGAAGCGCCAACGTTTCTCTAATTAATCTATCTGATCTACGAATTTACGTAGATTTTTAATCACGTTTCAAGAAAGCAATTAATTTCGAATTCCAAAAACTCACCTGAACATTCGTCGGAGCCGATTCAATCAATAATCGATACGATCAATGCGTGACAAAAAAAATAAGTGAAGGAAATGAGTGTTTTCGGACATTTCCTTCACTGACTACAGCTGCAAGAACCGATTTGGCTAAATTTACAATTTAAATTTGTATAAAATAAAAAAATTCTTGAAAAGCTGTGGAACACGCGCGTTTATGTTCAAGTTTTCTTCTGTTATTTACGAATTACAATACTAAATTTCTTTTAATTGTTAGCATTGTTTATGCCACCCACCCACGAACAAATGTACTTTTTACATCTTATACAGATCAACTGTTCGTCCAACAATTTTCATAACTAGGAAATCGTTACGAGAAAATCTTACTTCAACTAATATCACCTGATTTATTAGGTATTTTCTTTGAAAACGAAACCGACCAATATAGGTGTTTTCCATTTCTGCTTGATACGTAAACACAAATGNTGTATCGTTAAAAATTATTTTTTTATTTTGTACAAACAAAATAAATATATTGAAAAATATAAAAACAATAAAAAATTATACTTCAGATGTTAATTTAGTATCAAAAACGTAAAATATTTGAGTAGCCCAAGACATAGCCAAAGATTGAAGCGCCACAGCACTGACGAAAATTTAAATTTGCCGACTGGAATTTTTTCGGATGATTGACGTTTCGGATGATTGACTTTCGGAAAATCGACGCTCTACTGTAATTGTTATATAACACCTACCGCTGAGAATGATGAAATTTGCTGAGAACCAAACGAACTATTTTCAATTTGATCAATTTTCTGGAACGTTTACGATTCTTCTATAATCGAACCAAATGTGCAATAACAAATTCGAATTTAAAACGGTTCGAACATTTTAAAAATCGAAATACGTAAAAATATTTATAACAATGTCTGAAATGTTATTAATTTAATACATGTAAGTACTCGATGAAGACTAAAGCCGTTGTTTTGGTTAAGCCTTAATCCTCCCCCTTCTTCCGCCGGGGATTTTCAAAAAATCCTTTCTTAGTGTGCATTCTCATGGCATACTCTACCACAGCGCAGATAAATAGAAAAAATTGCATCTAAAAGAGTGCAGTAGAAGCCGTTCTTTTTGTTAACCCTTAATTCTCTCTCTCTCTACCGCGGAGGAATTTAGAAAAATCCCTTCTTAGTGTGCGTTTCCATGACGTACCCTAACTGTGTACCAAATTTCACCTGTTTAGGTTAAGCGGTCTGCTCTGGGCGATGATGAATCAGTGAGTGATTGATTTATTCAGTCAGTCAGTCAGGACAAGCAATTTTATATATTTAGATAAACAGGCCTACATTTTAGGTCAAACAGATGCTTTTCTTTCGTACGCGTTTGTTTTACTTTATTTCTATTGTAAAACATACAGACACGACCCGAATTAGTTTATTTGTTAATAATCTGTTGATTTATATCATTTGATCTCTGTTTTCCTTGTTTTACTTCCCTCGCTGTTGTCTACGTAATAAGAGAAAATATGGGAATCGTGTTAAATTTCATCCTACGAGTTTTTTGCAAATGTCCACTTTTTGAGACCTGAATCCAAAAAAGTCAAGCAAAAACAATCCGTGAATATGTATTTATGTTTGTGTGTGTTGGCATTTATTTCGTTTGATATTTCAAATGCAGTAAGTGTTAAACAATTGGCTCGATGGCTTCTATATAAGGGGCATTGGTGCTATTTAATTTTGGTGGTTAAAGGTCGAGATTATGGGATGATAGAAAGGGTTCATATATCTCGAAAGGGGTGAGACTTAATGAAGACTTTATTTATTATTAACATTTACACTCATTTATAAAACTCACCACTATCATGAAAATTAGTTTTTTTTTGGCCATTTTATAGTTATTAAAACTATAAAAAATTTTATAACAAAATCTGATAACTGATGAAGCCACACATTTTAATATTTTGTTTAATAATATAAAAGATTTTTAATGAAA